AGATCTTAAGTGCATTTCTTTTAGACAGCATATGTATGGGTCTTGTTTTCTTATCCATTTAGATTGGAGCATTTAATCCATCTACATTTAGATTTATTATTGCTAGGTACATTTTAATTGCCATATTATTGTTCATCTTTATGTTCTGTACCCCCATCTCCACCCCATCCCACCCCACTTCCTCTTGTTAAAGAAGTCCCTGTAACATTTCTTGTAATACTGGTTTGGTGGTGATGAACTCCTTTAGCTTTTTTTTGTCTGGCAAGCACTTTATCTGTCCTTTGATTCTAAATGATAGCTTTGCTGAGTAGAGTAATCTTAGTTGTAGGCCCTTGCTTTTCATCACTTTGAATATTTTGTGCCAATTCCTTCTGACCTGCAAATTTTCTGTTGAGAAATCATCTGATAATCTTATGTGAGCTCCCTTGTAATTAACTATTTTCTTTTCTCTTGCTGCTTTTAGCATTCTTTAACATTTGCCATTTTAATTATAGGGTGTCTTTGTGTGGGCTTATTTGGGTTCACCTTGTTTGTGATTCTCTGTGCTTTCTGGGCTTGGATGTCTATTTCCTTTACCAGATTAGAATGTTTTCAGTAATTTTTTCACATAGGTTCCCAGTCTTTTGCTTTTTCTCTTCTCCTTCTGGTACCTCTATGATGTGAATGTTGTTATGCTTGATGTTGTTCCAGAGGTTCCTTGAACTATCCTCATGTTTTTTTAAATTCTTTTTTCTTTTTGCTGTCCTGATTGGGTATTTTGAGCTACCTTGTCTTCCAAATCCTCTGTTTCTCCTAGTCTGCTGGTGATTTTTTTCTACTGCATTCTTCATTTCAGTTATTGCAGTCTTCACTTCCGTCTGGCTCTTTTTTATGATCTATGCCCTTTTTTATGCTCACTAGCTTTTTTTGAAGTTCTCACTGACTTCATATAGTCTTCCCCTAAGTTCATTGAGTATCCTTAGAACCATTACTTTGAACTCTGTTCTGGTAGTTTGTTTGCCTTTATTTCATTTAGTTCTTTTTTCTGGAGGGTTTTCCTTTTCTTTCATTTGGGACACATTTCTTTGTTTCTTCATTTTAGCTGCCTCTCTGTTTTTGTTTCTATGTATTAGGTAGATCTGCTATGTCTCAGTCTTGGCTGGGTGGCCTTGTGTAGTTGGCCCCCTATAGGGTGCAATGGCACAGTCTCCCCGGTCACCCATGCTGGGTGGTCCAGGAGCGTCGCTTGTGTGGGTTGTGTGTGCCCTCCTGTTATAGTTGAGCATTGATTACTATTGGCACATCAGCATGTGGGACTAGCCTTCAGGCTGACTGGCTATGGGTTTTGACCATGTCCACAACTTATGAGCTGCAGTGTGGGGGGCTTACCCCACAGAGCAAGATTCATCCCACTGGGCTCTGGTGCCTGCTGAGACCTCCCTTTGTGTGTGCCACTTGTGGGCTAATTGGGTGGTGCTCTGCTGTGGTCTGAAGATGGTGTCTGGGTAGGTTGGTTCTTGGGCTTCTTGGAAGGGGTTCCAGTGTAGGCCCAGGTTAGCCACTGCTTGTGATTGGCTTGGGACTACCTGGTAGAAGCTATAAAGCAATCTGCAGTTGGTCACTACCTGTGCTAGTCCAGGAGGTGCATGGGAGGGACCATGCTGCAAACTGAGGATGGCTAACACCAGTACTAGGCCTGGGGTAGCTCTGAAAAAAGTGTAGAAATTCCCAAGGCTGGGTCTCATAAGGCTCAGCCTCTGATAAAGCCCTTGTGTGTATGTGAGTTAGGTGATGTGGGGTCTCAGGGAGTCACTAGGGTGGGTGAAGTGGTGTTCACTAGGTTAGATTCTGGTTTGGTGCCAGTGCCGAGCCTGGAACTACTCAGCAAAAGTCTCAGAAAACATTAAGGGCAACCGCTGTCTGCCTGGGGCCGGTGGACCCCCAAGAGTTGTCTGACAAAGGGTGCAACACAAATGGGGCTGGCTACTTGCCAAGAAATTGCCTCTGGCATTGCACAAGTTGGGTGGAGTGGGGTCCAAGGGTGTTACCAAGGTGAAGTGAGCAAAGCTTACTAGGCCAATTCAGATTCAGATTTGGCTATGTCAGGGAGGGTTCAACACAGGGAAGATGGCGCCTGCCTGCCAGCTGCACAGGAGATGGATTCTACACAGGGAAAATGGCAACTGTCCTTCCAGTCCTTGCCTTAAATCTACCCAACTCAGTCTCTACCCATATGTCTCTGAAGCTTCTTGAGGCAACATTCCTCTGCCAGAGGCTAAGGTGAGTGCCTACGAGTGAGTGAATATGTGAGCAGGCCCTTTAAGAGGACATCTGAATTTCCCATAGCTTTCCATCCTACTCACATGGTTGGAATCCCCACTGCTTTTCATAACCATATTTTGTGGGGGCTCTTCTTCCTGGCATAGGTACTCTGGGCTGAGGAGCCTGTTTTGGGGCTGGAGTCTGTCACTCCTCTGGGGGTTGGGGGACCTAAATGGCCGAGATTCCCTCCTGATTCTTAGCTGCCACAGCAGGTGTGAGGCTGGCCAGTTCTTCATCTCCTACCCCCCTTTACCAGTCTTGATTGGCTCTTCTTTATATCTTTAGTTATAAAAATTCTGTTCAGCTAGACTTCAGATGGTTCTCCAGGCTGATCTATAATTTAGTTGTAATTTTAATGTTGTCATGGGAGGAGGCAAGCACAGCTTTTATCTACTCTGCCAACTTGGATCTTCCCCCAGAGGTTTCTTTAAAATAGGGACATTTGGTCTCAGTCCTGTGAGATTCTCACTCAATGGATATGGAGAAGATTCAGAAATCACACTCACTTTATAAAAAGTGACCGGGCTGATTCTAAAGTACAGTATATATATACCTTTACTTGTGACACTGATCAAAAGTGGGTACCATGTAAAAGAATGGGAAAAGTTTTAAATGCTGGACTACATTTGTGGTAGAAGGTATGCAATGTTTTCAGGGTGTTAAAAATTCAGAACCAAGATTCATCCCTCTGAACTGATGTCTAATGTCAATGGCAAGGCCTCTCTAGGAGTCTGTGTCTTGTTTTGTGATTGCTGTTCTCTGATCACCCTAAGGTTAAAATATTGGAGAAATTACAGCTTTTGCAAGATGCATGAAAGCAACTGAATCTATAAGTGAACTGAAGAATTTGCCCTTTAAGTTAAGTAACTCCTAAAATGTCTGCAAAATGAATTTGAAGATGCCAAATTCTATTTTGCTTTTTGTCTTTCACTATAAAATTTTAGAGAAGTTTATGTTTTTAAATTGTTTCTAAAATGCAATGCAATCACTTTTAAGAATGTAGTAAATTCTTTATATTTGCACACTTACATAAATGTATAATTTTCTAACCAAAAAGTATGTGATTATAATGGGACAAGGGTCAAAATTGAAGCTTAATTACTAGATAAGGTGTAAGTGTAAAGCAAAACTGACTTGTTGCAGAGCCAACAAACTTCTGAGCCAGACTTCTTTTACTTCTGTTTTTACTAGAATTAAGGCAAGCGTCAGATTTTGAGAAAGGGTTCTGTCTACAGTGGGTTTCTCAGGACTCCAGTTGTGATAAGATAAAGGACCAGTCATGCTGATAAAAATAACAAAATATAATTCTTTTTAAAATACATTAGATATTACATAAGGTTGTTTTGTTTTCAAATTTTACCTAATTAGCATGGACTGTTTTTTATATGAAAAAAAATATTTAAAATAGTGAATCATAAAGGTTTTTTCTGAGGAAAACAAAGTTTATACGACTTCTCTCTGGTTTGCAACAATATCCTGAGAACCTTGGCTTATGGGTTGACCTCAGGGATAATTTTAAAAGGGACAACTTGCTTCAGCTGCCACAGGAATTTCCACTCTACCTTCAGTTGTGTAAATTTTGCATGAATATTTCTCAGCATGTTTACTTAATAAGTGATGGAAGTTCTAAGAACTGTATAGTTGCTCTATGTTACACTATTGTGGTTGAAAAGCACATGTATTTAAGTTTCAACACTGAAGTTTCATATGAGAAAATTACAGTATTTGTTGACTGAGTTCTTTAAAATCAGGAACAGTGACTCATTTGTCTTTGTGACTCTAACCATCATACAATGTCTATATGTGACTCAATGAGTACATGAAACTGTTTTTAAACTTGATGCACTTAAAACCATTGATGTTTGGCCTTGGAAGGAAATTACCAGCCTCTGAGAGAAAGGTTTACAAAACCAATTTCTGTCAATGACCACAGATGTCACTAATCTAGAGTTCTCATTTTTAACCTCAATGGGTGAATTTAATTAGCTTCTAGGATTGGAAGCTAAGATAATTATTACAAGTGGCATTGGAGAAAATAGTCCCTTGTCAACCCTGAGCTACCCGATCGTGAACATTTTCATTTCTCCCTTTATTGTTTCTATTCTATTTAATCCAGACAATAACCACATAAAGAATGTTGAAAATGGAATTTTCCTTTAATTGATATTCAAGATGTTATTTAGCTCGGAACTTTATTATTTAGAGAGAACGTGTAGCCAATACTACAGATAATCTTGTTCCATTGATATTTATCTGCAGTTTAAAGACAGTTGCTCTTCCCTCACCTGTTGAGGAAGTGCTTCCTGCCACTCATTTGCTCCATAACTTCAAGTAAATCTCCACTGGCTTAATGACTACAGGTATTCTTGCCTTAATATGACACATTTGGGAAGAGAAGTCTAAAATCTTTTACATAAAATAAGTTTCATAATCATAAGCTATGAAAAGGGGGATATGTATATATACTATCGGTACTTTTTACCACGAATTTCCTGACCTTGATTTGATTAAAATCTCAACCCAAAGGTTGCAACAGTATAGATTTCTTTAGCGTTTAATTGTTCATTTCACTGTACTTTGAGAAAAACCTCAATGTGGAGCAAAAAGGGGTGGTAAGCGGAAAGAGAAGTTAGGGACTGAGCTGCTTTGCAGATCAGAGCATTTGAAAGTGAACGCCCCAAAACCACAGAAGAATCACATTGTCTTTCTCTTCACTTTGTTTCATGAACTATTCAAACTGCTGTCCACTCGTACATCCTCTCTCCTTTCCATTTATTTTACAGATGTCGTTGGGGAGTTAACCTGATCCAACTCTGAAGAACTCAAAGGAGAGAGGGGAGCCTTCTGTACTTGAGAAGTTATTCCATCCCTGATATGCACAGGAAATGAAGACATCACCTGCCATGCTTGGAACTGGAAAATTGTACTGGGTCCTCTTCCTAATATCACATCTGGACATCTGGAGTGTCGAAGGTAAGCACCTACTTAGATTATTTCTTGTTTTATTTCTCAGGGGGTGTTGAAGGTAATTTTTTCCCTTTCTGATCTTAGTATGATGTGGTGTTTATGTGATGAATATAGATGAAACCAAATATTTAGATTTGCTCACTAAAGACATTCTAGGACATAAATCAAATCGGAAAATGGTATTCAAGAGTCACAGCTTGGCTGATGTTCTTAAAAATATGTTCTGCTGATAAGAAAAAGGAATTGGGCAGATGTTATAAGTAGTTAGGTACAGATTTATCATGACTTTAGCAAATGCTTTGGATTTCATACTGATGGTGAATAGCTTGTTCTGACCAAACTGAGGCTTGGCACAGTGTTGTAGTACTCAGTTGGATAGGATAGGTATTGGGTAACTGGGATTATACCTGACTCCATGGTTGCTCTTGAATAATGTTGCTAAATAAAATCACACTACTTGCCTTGGGTGCATATGTGTATGTATCTGGAGATAACTTGAATGAGAAAAGGCTGAAAATATATAGGATCGGAGCATTCTGCCATTGCGTCTATTGTGTTGAAAGAGAATGGTTCCAACTTGGGTGTCATTTGACATAGAAAATAGTTTGGGTTCTGCATAGATGATGTTTGGCCCCTTCTGCAAAGATTTTATGTAGGCAAACAACCAATTCCTTCATTCTGGTGAGTTCACTAGCTCCCTGAATTGACACAGGGACCTGCATATTGTAAAGGGGGATGGACTATAAATAGCTAGCAGAAGTTTCAGGTTTTCTCAGTTTTGCTTTCAAATATCCTGCCTTATAATCCCCACAAGCACACATACTCTTATCAGTTTTGTGTTCTGTGGTTTTAGATCGGAAAATATGGTCACTGAAATCCTATAGAATGTCACCTTCAATTCTGGAACTGGGTGGTTTGGAGTTAGTCTTCATGATGCTACGATGGCACACAACCAGGAGCAAAATAAAACTCCCCTTTAGTCATCTAAGTTTTTTCATGTTTACATATTTTTATGTGTGTACAAGTATACTTGATATTATGTGGACAAGGGGTTTAGATAGCTGACTGGATTTTTCACTTTCTATCAGATGCCTACAATCACAAAGCTACAACTGGAGTCAAATATCATTAAACAGAGTTCATAGCAATTTAAAGAATATATAAACTATTCCCTATGAAATGAAGGAAAAGAATTTTCAGTGGTGTATCATACTGGGAGTGGGGTACAATGTCTATTCTTCTTCCGATTGTGCTTCTAAAGGTGAACTTGGGTGTTAGAATTCAGTTCATTTACTGGCTCTGCCAGTTATTGTGTGACCTTGGTTAAATTTCTTATCCTCTCTTACCCTTAGTTTCCTCATTTGTAAAATAGAGTTAATAATTGTACCTGAATTATGGGCGTGTCGTGGAGACTATAAATGCAGTAAATAAATTACCTGGCACAGCAAGTGAACACAATAAAAACTTGATAAATGTTAATGATATTTTTGTTAATATTCTTTTCACCAAGCAGCTCCCACAAAATTCAGTTAAATGGGAAGTAAGTTTTAACATTATCATTTAAAATAGTTGGGTTTGTTAAGATAAAATAAAATGAATAAATGAAATATATAGTACAATAATATATTTAGCTCCAAATACGGTGAATCAGATTATTTGAAAAAATGAAATGGAAACCATTGGACAAGGTCCTGGCCAAGTATCTTATACAGCAGTTGAATGTGTGCAGCATTACTTGCATTAAATTAAGGTCATAGGTTGAGATAAGGAATGATTGGTAAGATTTGTTTTCCCAAACAGAGCTGATGACTATTCCTTAAAAATCACATTACTTTTAACCGTTATATCTTGGGGATTTCCTGTGACTTACTTAATTACTGAATTCTTTATACTGGCACAGCTTCAAAGTACTTAAAAATGACTTTAGAAGATATTTTTCACCTCCACTTCAAAGTAATGTGAGATCTGTGTGACTCTTCCCAGGAATCAGGCTGAATTAATAAGGTTGAAAAAGATGTAATGTTCTCTACAAATTTCCTTTTTTATAATAAAATTATGTTTAATTGCTTTTTGTGTTTCTCAAAAAAATCAGGAGGGGGAGGTGCGGGGGGAAGGGAAAGGGGGCTGTGTCCCTCCGTATCTGGCATAGGATTTCTGTCCCGATGAAAAGTATTCAAGTGTCAGCACCTTCGCTTCCTGGATAGATGAGCAGGTAATGCTGGCAAAAACTAGGCTGCAAGTGGAGAAGCCCCTGTCAGCCACCTGCCTCACTGCTGATGAGTAGCTCCTGCTGTGAGGCCCTGGACCACTTATTCAGTTGAGGACAAACTGAGGATTCCACCTTCAAACAGGCAGGAGCACTGCAGTTAATGTCTGGCTACCATTTGGCACTATATACGATCTGGAATGAAGGCAATAAGAAATCTGTGATTGACCACTGCTCATTGTGAGAAAAAAATCATGCTAACATGATCTAGTACCAGACTATACTTATAGTTTGGCTCCTTTGAGAAACAGTGGTTAGGGCTGTGTCTCCATTTGGGTGTTGCCTACACCCTCTTTGCCTCTATTGTGATGGATCAGTATGGACCATGGATTCATGCTCCACAATCCGCACAGACTGTGTGGCTTCACCATGAACTGGCCATATTGTTGAGTCAGAGCAGGAACATTAGGGCAGAGGTGCCCTGCATGTGTCTGTCATTCTTTGAAGTTCCAGGGTCTTTACCAGGCTTATCTCTATGGTGGTAGCTATTTTTTCCTATTAAAATGTGCATGTGGAATGCTAGAGATTCTGCCTTCTGCCAGTTGCCTGTGTATTGTTATTGTAAAAATGTCTGTCACAAAATATGACTAGGTTCTACGTAAATATCTAAGGATACGTTCTGAAGCTACAGGATTTCCTGGATTAAAGGTATGAAAAGATTAACCCCTGTGCTGATCAGAGCCTTGAATAGACTTTCCAAACACTGAAAATCTCTTTAATAAATTGTTGCTTTCTCTGTCCCACTATCAAAATTTCCTCTATTGTAATGTTGAAGTCAAAATGCTGTTTATCTTGCATCACTGGGACTTTCCTACTGAATTTCCATTATTTGTGAGTTTCACCTTTACTTAGAGTTCAGAATGGTTGAAAGAAAAATGTTCATAGGCATTTGTAATGAAGTCCAAAAATGAAATCAACCTTTTGCTTCATTCTTTGGAGAGGCAGTTGTGGAGCCATTAAGATCAGGGACTCTAGAGCCAGACGGTCTGGATTACTGTCCCATCTCTGCCATTTACTTGTTCTGCCATTTACCTTTCTAGTTCTTTTTCCTTATCTAAACAATGGGGACAATAATTGACCCTATAGGGTTGTTGTGTTAAGTGAATTAATTCTGTAAAACACTTAGAACAGTGCCAGATACATTGTAAGTGCTGTGTAACTTTAGCTAATGTTTTTTTAAATTCCTTTTAGTCCAAAATTTAATTATCTTGATAGTTCTTAGAAAGTAATATTGGGAAACCATTTCTCATTTGGGTTGACAAAAGTCATCTATAAATAACTCTTGATATCATGATCTATCATCCCAAGTGACAAAGAAATGAGAGTTTGTGAATCATGAGACTTGAGTTACTTTATGCCATTGAATTATATCATAAGCAATTTGCTTGAATTTTCTAGTATTCTCCATTCTGTTACCTCAAAATCAGCTCAATATTATCCACCTTTGTGGTATCCTCTCATGGTTATGGACTCTGATTTCCATGCTTATTTCTATGGAAGAAATTACTTGTGTGCATGTGCCTATGCGTACACAAGCAGGGGTGTCATTTTAGTATGCTCAGAATCTAAACGTGTATAATTTGAGGTTCACTTTGAACACAGTCAGTTAGAGTGTTAGAGGGGCCATCTGGCTAGTCATAGAGAAACATCAGTTAAGCTGGTAGAGCTCTGTAACTTCTCTTTTTCTCATTCCTAATAACCACATTTATCTTATGAATACAATCTAGAACCCACATACATCACAAATAGCCCATTGTCCAGAAGTGGCTATAAGAAATGCTGGAGCTTTTAGGTTTTAGCTGGGTGGTCTTGGGCCCATTTCATTTTCTTCCATGATATTAGAAGAGGAGCATTAATATCGGAGGGCAATTGACAGTTTTGCCTGCATAGATATTAAGTATCTCCTAGGTTTAGAAAATGCCAGTGAATCTCAGTGTGCGATCTCCATAGCATGATGTATTAGGACGGCCAGGAAGTATCTGGAAGAGGGAGGAGATGAACTTTCCCCATGTGTTTCCAATAACACATAACCCATATTTCCTCTGAGCATCACACATAACCATTCTATCACTGATGGCAATATTTAGAAATACTCATGTTGTTTTCTGATAAAATGCTGAAGGCCCTCTTTGAAGCTGTCCACAGCTTCTAAAATATTCTCTCAGCTTTTTCTGCCCGGCTTTTCTTCCTGAAGTCACTGTGATCACAGTGGAGGGCCTAGCATCTCTGAAAGACGGGCCAACTTGTACTATGTAAGAATTTTTCAGTGGAAAGATAGAAGCTCAGTTGGGGTTTTCCCCATGGTAGTTTTATAATCAAGGTATATGGTCTTTAAAAATAAGAAATAATTGTGTTTCTCATAAGATTCATAATCATGAACCTCTTTTTATTAAGAGCTAATAAGTTCCACAAATTACCCACTCTCTTTGGCTTCTGATGGTATTTATACCTGCAGCCACACTTGCTCAGCTGGAAGGTACTGGGCCATGCAATTGTTTGTGGCTGACATGCCTTTCTGATTGGCTGATCTGGGTATCTGGATGACCACAAATTGTCACTCATTAAATATTTTGAATATCACCCCTTAGTGGACATAAATCAGGCCTTCCCACACTGTACACTGTTGAGGTCTAGTTTTTTTTTTTCTTTCTTTTTCATGGTTAAAAGTTAACCACAGCAGAGTATACTGAGATGCATACATTCTTCACCTCAGTACCTTTGGGTCATCTCTCTAAGGGCT